TGCTGACTGACTGACCATGTGGACCAGGGCCAAGTGGCTGCCGGGCTGTCTCGCACCCGTGCTGCCTGTCGCAGCTTTGGCAACGAAGTTGCTGACTTTCTGTCTCTTGGCACTTCTCTGCAGGTTCCAGCAAAAAGTCTCACTGACTCCGCACTGCTTCATGAGCTGGAGTCTGGCTTGCCGCAAACTGGCTTTCTCAATGGCTAGCCTGTCTAGCTCCGCCATCATGCCCAGCTTGGCCTCCTTCCGGCCTTTTTCTGTCTGACTACTTTGACAACTGGCTGGAGGCCAAGCTCTTCTACGGCTTGGCTAGCTCTGGCTTCCAAAGACTGCCTGTTCTGCTCTTGCTGCTTTCGCTGTCTTTCGGTTGCTGTGTCTGGCTTCAGGCCTGGCTGGGCCTCTCGCTCTGGTGTCTTTCCCCAGAGGTAATCCAGCCGGTAGTAGGCTGGACTGTCTTTCTCCATTGTCTTCTTTAGCTGTTCTATCTGTCTGACTTGCACGGCCTGGCTGCCTTCCTCAAAGAGTCGCTTCTTTGGGGAAGGCATTTGAAAGCTGGCTTTTCTCTTAAGGCCTGTCTTGCTGTCTTGGCTGTCCAGACTGTCTAGGCTGTCTTGGCTGTCTAGGCTGTCCTGTCTGCCTACTGGACTCAAACTGCTCAAGCTGTCTTGTCTCTGCACTAGCTGTCCTCTGGGAGTGCCGGCTGTGCTGGCCTCACTCTCCAGGTCCACCACCTCGACCTTCACGAGGTTGAGGGGCACATCCTGGCGAATAGGCAGTATCTCACTGCCTGCCGTAGCTCGGTGGGAACCGCGTGGCTTCGCGAGCGCGCCAGAATCTGTTGCGGGCTCGATCCCCCTCGCGGCTCTTGCTGTTTTTCTGGCTCTGAAGATTGCCAATGACAAAGCATGAAGGACCCACCATGAACAACTGAAAAACACCCCGGCCGGGACTCGAACCCGCACCCCTGTGCAGGGATGCACCCTGACACAGACATGCCACCACCACACCCCCGAAAAAAGTTGCAGAATAGGCTTCACTGAAACTGATCACTTAATTCCTGTCCAGCCTTCTTCTCTGTCTCGTGGAGGCTGTCTGCCTCCTCCTGCAGAGCAGGCAAGTCCTTAAAGAATGAATGAAGCAATGAGTCTGGCTTGCCTTCTTCTGTGTCTCGTGGAGGCTGTCTGCCTCCTCCTGCAGAGCAGGCAATTCCTTAAAGAATGAATGAAGCAATGAGTCTGGCTTGCCTTCTTCTGTGTCTCGTGGAGGCTGTCTGCCTCCTCCTGCAGAGCAGGCAATTAAAAGAATGAATGAAGCAATGAGTCTGGCTTGCCTTCTTCTGTGTCTCGTGGAGGCTGTCTGCCTCCTCCTGCAGAGCAGGCAATAAAATAAAGAATCAGCAATGAGTCTGGCTGGCCTTCTCCAGCTCAGCCAGCTCCTTGAGCAAGGCTGCCTTCCTTTCGGCCTCATCGCAGTTTTCTCTCTTTCACTCTCTCTCTCTCCTTCGCTCGCAAGCAGCTCTGCCTTGGACTGCTCCATGGCGAAGGCTGTCTGGCTGCATGGCTGCAGCCCTTTCTTGCTCTAGTTTGGCTGAGTGTGTCTGTCTGTCTCGGTCTGTGTGTGTGTGTGTGTCTTTCTCAGTGTGTGTTTGTAGAAGAGGCTCCGACTGTGTGTGAGTGTGTGTGTGTGTGAAAGAGAGAGAGAGAGAGAGAGAGAGAGAGTGTCAGTGTGTTAGTGTGTGTGTGTGTGTGAGTGTGTTTGTTTGTGTGCATGGCTTTGCGAGCCTTGCAGCGAACTTCACAGACAACTGTCCAATCACCATGCCATGACACTGTCACACACAACTGTCTGATTGCACTGTCATTTGCATTTGGACATAAATATACCCCCTAATTATAAAAATACTTTTCGAATATTTATTGGAGGGGCCCCCCGTTTAATATTAGGGGGTCAGGATTATATATGTATATATATATATATAAGTGTATATATATACATACATGTAGGTGTGTGTGTGTACACACACATAAACCATCAATAACATGCACATATAGAGTGCTTGTACGCATAAATATAAATAAATACATAATAAGTGAGCAAATAGATAAACAAATAAACAAATAAATAAATATATATATATATATACATATATATATATATACACTACTACTACTACTGCTGCTGCTGCTGCTGCTGCTGCTGCTGCTGCTGCTGCTACTGCTACTACTCCTCCTACTACTACTACTACTACTACTACCACCAGTACTTCTACTACTACCACTACCACTGCCACTACCACTACCGCTAACACTACTACTACTGCTGCTGCTGCTACTATTGCTACGACGAAAACTACTACTACAGCTACGACGACGACTACTACTACGACGATGACGACTACTACTACAGCCACGACGACAACGACGACTGCTAGTACTGACCTCGACATGTTCGAACCTGGCACGCTAAAGCTGCTGAAGTCTCCGGTGCAAACATCCCGGAGCCGTACTCTCATGGTGAACTCAACGCCTACTGTACACCCACAAACATAGATGGACATCTAAACTCCAGTCATGACATCATGAAGCCAAAATCACGACAAACCCTGGGTTCGACAATACAGATCTTCAAACCCTTACCCAAGGGCTCCAAGTATGCAAATGGTACCTACTTTGGGGCCTAAAGTCTATAAATAGGACCTACTTTGGGCTATTTGGAGCCCTAGGGTTACTTACGGACACCTGCAAGGAAATCCTCTCCAGATTGCCACCGTGGCCACGCGCTGCTGCTCATTGCGCGGAGGTCGCCGTTCGCACGGCGACCCGCGTTCCTTTTGGCAAAGCTCCGGAAGGGCTCATATACTTGGAGGATCTTAGGGACTTCATATGACTTAATTAATGGTTGTGTACTTCGGATTTAGGGCTCAAGGCTGCAAAGGTTGCTTACTCCTTTGAACTACTATAAAGGATTACTTATGAGACTACGTGCCACCCTGTCCGATCCCCCAAGTAGGCACTGCCTGCTGAGACTTGGAGCTCCGGAAGGGTATAGGGTTTAGGCTGAGGCTTGGGCCCATTAATCATCAGAGTAGGGTTTTCTGCATCTTTACCGGGCTGTAAAGGGTTTGGGGAAGGGGCCTGAATCATCAGAACAGGGACACTAGGTTTTAGGCTGGATTTAGCAGCAAGGCTTGATATCGGGGCCGCAATCATCCCATTTGGGGTATGCCAGAATACCTATGCGCGGACTGTAAAGCATAGATTCTGTAATTGGGTCTGCATGACGGTAAACCGTTACCAAGAAATTCCGGAGGCGACGCACAAGATCTGAAATTTAACCCTCGTCATGCCAACCTCACCAGTAGATATTGAATCCACGAATACTGTATCTCGGGATATGGTATGACTTCTCAACTTAGGAGATAGAAAGCCGATATGACGGTTGAATCCCGACCCCTCACGTTTCGGAACTCGCTTGCCCTCGGAAGCCGATTTCGCCGAATGGCCAGGTGTGCCGGGCAGCAGAAGACAGACCAGTAATGGTTGCATTCCCTGCCGGGGGATGCAACTTCAGGCCACATGGTATAGGCTTGAACACTGCTGCGAAGAACCATAGCCGAACACAGCATGAACTCAGCGCGCACGATCAAGGAGACTATATGGTCGAGGTCTTTAAACCCCTGTTAGGTTGGTCCATCGTTCGGTGGACGCTGGAGGATCTGCACAACAGAGTCATGCCTTGGCTTCATACACATACGCTTCCATACATCGTTGAAGAAGTACTCGCACGACGACTAATTCCAGAACGGGTACTAGGACTACGACTATCATCTACATCTACATCAATGACGACAACGGCAACAACAACAACAACAACACCAACCAGTATCAGTACCAGTGCCAGTGCCAGTGCCGGAACCGCTGCCACACGACTACTACGACTGCGACTACGAGTACGACTACGACGACGACTACGACGACGATTACGACTACGACTACGACGACGACTACTACTACTCCTACTCCTCCTCCTACTGCTACTGGCACTGCTGATGCTACTGCTGCTGCTGCTGCTGCTGCTGCTGCTACTACTACTACTACTACTACTACTACTACTACTACTACTAACTGCAATCAGAGCTGTGATGACACTGCGAATACCAGCAACACTAATAAACTAATACGAATGCTACGGCTAAAACCGTCCTCCGACGACCACCCGATAAAACGATTCTGCATTTATCTTTGATCTGCACAACCAACTCAAAGCGCCTAGATTCGGTACAGTCGGCCTGCTCCGACCACTGAGTCCTTGGCAAGCTCTTTGGCTTTCCTGCAGGGAAAAGAGGTCAGAATTGAAACAGCCGAAGTCCTACTATGATCACGATGACCACGGAGAAGAAGAGCCATAACCAACTGCTTGTAGCCGCAACTGAGACACTTGTAAAGCTACTTGCTAAGTCCCCTGGTCCTCCAAGTACGTATCCAAGATCTCTTATATACTGATCTCCAGAATGACCCCAACAGCCACCTGAAGGATAACGTCGTCTGCTTCACAGTGAGTTGTGGCCCACGAAGCGCGTTCTGAATGCCCTGAGCCACGGCTACGCCTCGGGCGAGCCCAATGTTTGCTCATACGAGGGTGCAGGCGATTCTTGGACAAAAACGGGAGGCTTCCTGTTGCGATGTTCCCTTGTTGGCGACATGACGTGGCTACCTGACGTTCTCGTTAGCGTGGCTCTTCAGAGAGCTAGATTTGAACATACATTCTCAAATAACGGCGGCATATGAAGGAAACGGCGGGCTCAAAGCTGGCATCGTACCACTATCTATCAGTACGCATTTGGACTTTCAGCGCCGAAGCACGGCCCATGAAGAAGCCCACCGCGCATAAGAGCATGACGAAGGCCAACATCGCCAGAAGCACAGTTGCTGCTACCCTTCCTCAGTTTTCAAGGGACATGAACCCCCAACATCCCAAGGCCAAAATCCTACAAGCTGCCTGGAGAATCACAGGGTTCGAGTAAGGAAGGTGATCAACAAATATCTCATGCTGGTTGGTGCTATATGTGATTATGACCATGATTGCTTTCGTCCCATGCCCCGGTATACTCAAACCACACAAGCCGAAACCCTAGAGCTGTCTCCGATACTCCGTATGTAGCACTGAAAGTCTATCTATCTATACTTTTCAGAGTCCTTGTCTTGGTTTACCGCTCTTTTGTAGTTAGGATCTTTGAGAAGCATAAAAGAGGTAATCAAGCAAAGGCACCACATCGGAGAGTGCAGGTAGAAGCCGAGCATGCATACCAACAGCCGAAAGACCGAACTCATCCCGGCACACGCCAAGTATCTAATAAACTAAGCCCAAGTATCTGACCATTACAGTAAGTACATTAAACGTATGGAGCATCTCCTTACAACCGCAGGCTTTAGTTTCAAGCTCGGCGCCGCAACCCTGCCGGAACGCCCCGAGCCCCTGTGCTGGTAACCTAGGACCCTTTGGGTTATTAAGGGGCTTCTGGGAATTTCGGGCTTGGGGTATAAACCCTACAAATGGGTAGTTCTCTAAATCAGGGTACTTGGCATGTTACGCCTGAACCCGTAAAGATCTCCCTGTTTTCAGGCTTGGAAGGCACGAAAACAGCTCTAGAGCCTGGATGTCCGAAATTCCTCCTTCACCCCCGCCAGCCCGACCCGAAACCTTGAGCCCATTTAGGGACCTTTAATTATTAATACAACCTTAGACTTGTGCAACAACCTGTTGAGATCCTGAGGCATCTGAGTGGCGGTTGTGGGCCTTCAGCTGTGCCTCTGTAGCCTCTAAGGCCCTCCTCAGACCGAGAGAGGAAGGTGGGAAGTCAGGCTTGGGGAGCAGGATTTTAGGTTACGGCGTTGCATCGATTTGGGGATTTGGGAACTCAAGTCAGGGATTCAGAACTTTAGAGGTTCAAGGGTAAAGAGAACATGGGAGTCAGGAATTTGGGTTTACAGATCCTTGGAGGGAAACTTCCGCCAGGTTGTCACGCATGTCTAGAGCTGAAGGTTGCGGGGCTTGGGGTTTAGGGTTCAGGGCCTAGGTTTTAAGGTTCAGGGTTTAGGTTTTAGGATTCAGGGTTTAGGAGGGTTTAGGGTTCAGGGTTTAGGGTTATCCTTACATCCGAAGGAAGATGGCGAGTGAGGGAACCTCTTCAGGTTTTCCGGAGTTGAAAACCCCGAGAGGCTCGAAGGGAACAGCTTCTCCTACCTAAAGTGTTTAGGGTTTAGGGTCTAGGGTCGAAAATAGGATCTCCGTCCATGGGGGTCATCGAAATCCTAGATTCCAGTTGTTACCACAAACTTTGCTGAGCTCTGAACGACCCCAGGTCTAAAGAGTACAATGCGCTCAGACTGCAATGGGGTTTAGTGTTTAGGGTTTAGGGGAGGCCTGAAGGGTCTTCTCCCCGAGGGTTGCCAGCCAATCGTTACTACACGGTACAGCTATCGACGGGATCTTTCCACGACCACTACAACAGCAGCAGCAGCAGCAATAGCAGCAAGAGCAGCAGCTGCAAGACCAGCAGCAGATACCCCACAAGCATGTGCTCCCACAAACAACATCATCCACTGGACTACGTTACACTGTTACACTGTGTCTGCTAGCTGTTTGACGTCATAGTCGTTTTGATCCTCCTGGCCTCATTCTTGTCATCTTCATCATTGTCATCCTCGTCATCGTCGTAATCGTCATTGTCGTGATCATCTTATTTGCAACTTTCGCACAAAATAGATGCTAATGGTGAGGTCCGAAGATCGTAAGGAACTGGAGCTCTTCTTCCTTCTGTTGCTCCGTGGTCGTGACGGCGTCCGGGACGTACTCCAAAGCTTCCTCACGAACTGGGATCTGCGATCAGGGGCTTCCGGAGGTGCATGGTTTAGGGCTTAGGGTTTAGGGTTTAGGGCTTTGGGTTTAGGGTTTAGGGCTTAGGGATAAGGTTAAAGTAAAGCACAGGATAGTCCTCGAGGCTTTCGAACTAGGGGCTCGAATGTTACACAGAGTTCATGGAAGATGCAGCTTCGGGTTTTGGGGCACACCACCTGAAGCATGAGCCAAATCCGCCGATATAAGTAACTTTAGCTGCAAGTCTCACAAGTAGTGGAGAACCAACAGACAAACTGTGACGGTGAAACCCTAAACCCTGAACCCTAAACCCTAAACCCTGAACCCTAAACCGTAAATCCTAAACCCTAAACCCTAAATCCTAAACCCTAAGCCCTAACCCCTAAATTCTGAACCCTAAACCCCAAAGCTACAACAGCAGGCGTTGCGAGGCAGACTACATACTGCACTGCAGGTCGTGCACTGGCATTGCTTTCGGCTTCTCTTCCAGGTCTTGCTACCGCTGTTCCTCGATCCTTTATAATTATACGGGGGTTTGGGTTTATAATTATAAAGGGTTCAGGGTTATAATTATAAGGGGTTTCGGGTGTATAATTGTATGGGGTTTAGGGTTTATAATTCTATGGGTTTAGGGTTTATAATACTGGTTTAGGGTTTATGATTCATTGGGGCTTCTAAACTTGCTATGGCGAGGTCAAACCACAGGTCATGAACCGCAAGAGCCCCAAAAGGCCCATGAGCGCCATAAACCCTCGAAGCGCTAGACACCATAAACTGAGGGCAAGCCAGTCCTGCTCAAACGTCTCCATCTCAGAGGCGATAGACGCAGCCTAACCGGGCTCAGGGCTCAGTGCTTGCGGACTGAGATTTAACTTAGAGTGGGGGTTAGGGTTTAAGGTTCGGGGTATAGGCGGTATAGGGTTATAGCGCGTAGGGTTCAGGGGTTAAGGTGTAGTGCTGGGGTTCCGGCTTTCTGGTCCGTGGGTGTTTTGCATCCAAGTTATGAATAGCGCAGCTGTCGATTCACCCCTCGGTTTCTGGGTCCTTGTTGGGGATTTTTAAGCGACTATAACCCTAGGCTTCCAAGGACCTTATAATTAGGGCCCCCGACCCCTGAAGGACCCAATAATAAGCTCCCTGGGAAGCCTAGGGTAATAAAGAGACCCCATATGATTTACTATAGATCCACATTCTGGTAACTTAAACAAACCCAAGGGCTCCAAGTATGCAAATGGTACCTACTTTGGGGCCTAAAGTCTATAAATAGGACCTACTTTGGGCTATTTGGAGCCCCAGGGAAAGTCCCTTAACAAGAACCCAGGCTTCCGAAGCTCCAGCACCGTCGACTGGCTTCAGCCTCACAGGCCCTTCCAGCCCGAAGAGCTCACGCCAAGAACCACAAGCCGCCCCCGAAAACACTGTGTTTAGGGTTTAGAGCTTAGGGTTTAGGGTTTAGGGCTTAGGGTTTATGTTTAGGGTTTATGTTTAGGGTGTACCGTAACCCCCCTGCACTGCAGCTGAACCTTGGCCCCCAAACCCTATGAACAGACCGTCTTGCGCCCTAAATCTTGAAGCTTGACCGCTGAGACTTTACCTAAATCTTGATGCTGTGGTACACCTACACCCCGAAACTCTAAACCCAGTAATTCCTCTAGAGTCAAAGCACGAAGCCCTACCAGACTGAACCCCAGACACTCATCCCTACAAGGCGAAAACTCCAAAAAGAAACCATTAGTCGCCTTAGCCCCAAACTTTAAAAACACCAAAAACTGCAAATCGAAGCCTCTAACAGCTGTCAACACCCTTCTCCCATTTAAGCTTCTTGTTAAGCTAAATCCAAAGCACGCCAAACACTAACCCCTGAAGTCCTGAAGCTACTAACAGCTTATGAACACAAGCAATTTAAAGTATCTGTTAACCAGCATACATACGTACATAAATACATATATATATATATATGTATGCATGTGTATATGTATGAATTAATTACATATGTTTATGTATATACATGAGAGAGCCCTTAAAGCACCTCTAAACGCTTCCGGTCGGCCGAGCCCCGGGAAGTAAACTGGCGGTCCTCCACACGGCGGACCTTCGAAGTGGCTCAGGGTCCGAAACGGTTGGTAGGGCTTTAGGGTTTAGGGTGTAGGATTTAGGGTTTAAGGCTTGGGGCTCAGGGCTGAGAGGGGCTAGGGCTTGGGGGGGTTCAGGGTTCCAGTTTAATTCATCCAGGCTCTTGCGTTTCTCAGGTCTTGGGGTTTGGCCTTGCGGATTTAAGGGCGCTGTAAACACATGTAAGGGTTTGAAGATCGAGTCAGAAAAACTTGCAGTTGGGGCTAGGGTTACTAGGGCTTGTAAGGCTTGGGAAAAGCTTGAGGGCTTCCAGCTGTCGAGGCTGTAGGTTCTAGCTTTCCAGGCCTTCGGCTTGCCATAAAAATGGTGTAGAGCCTGTAAGTATTTCGACAGCAAGGCTATATCAATGGCAAGGATCAGGCTCGATGCCCTAGTTACTAGTTGATCTTAGTTGTCTCTGAATGAATATGAGCGCTTACGTGCCGCCCCTGACATCCTCCTTGAAGCTCGATGCATGGAAAAGCTCTGAAGAGTCTGTTCACACAAGTTCTCCCCAAGCCCAATTCCCATCGAGTTGAATCGAAGCAACGTAGGCGGTTGTGGTGTAGAGGGCTACTGTTAGCCGACAGTCTCGGGCCTTAGGTGTTGCGTCCGGGACATGTGCGGCCTCTCTGGCAGCCTATCATGGGTGACTAGAGGTTTAAGAACATCCTTAAACCCTAAAGCGCACCAGTACACAGTAAGCTTGGATTCTGAATGCTATCTCTCGTAACTAGGCTGGCATGAGGACGCGGAGGCAGCAAGAGTCTCAAAGGTCACTTATCTCCCCGCCAACTTTTAAACCAAACCGCACGCCCTGAACCCAAAGTGCACTTCGACACGCATCCAAAATTCATGAGCATGGCCTCTGTCTGGACCTTGCCCACTGCCGCGGAGGTAGTCTCTGCAGTAGTGGAATCGAGCCTGTGCTTCAAGCGGCATAGCTAGAGAAGGCTCTGTGAATTACATGCCTCTGTCATTGACAGGCCGTTTGGGCCCTCGAACACTCAAGTTTAGGTTGGGCATCAGGGTACCGGGTTTGAGTTCACTGATTCTTGTTGTTTGCCTATTGGGCTCTAGGGAAATGACGGTTTACTTGCCTCGGACCTGCCGTTCAGGTGCACGGCTAGTCTGACTGGTTCTTAGTAGGGAATGGGGGAATGGGTTTTTGGGACTACTATAAGGGACCTTAAGGGACTATCATAGGGATCCATTCCCCCATTCCCTACTAAGAACCAGGGAGTAGTCTTGAGAGCTTATGCTTGCCAGCGGCTTCAGGGGCAGACAAAGCTTTCGGGGCTTTGGCTTTGGAGCTTCAGGCTTGTGCCGAAGAGTAGTGGATTCTAGGTTCACGTTTCTAGTACTAGATTTGGCACGGTTATTGTTGTTGTCGTGAAAGCTACGACGACAACAACGACAACACCATCTGCTGCTGCTGCTGTTGCAAAAAAAACGACGGCGACGGCTGCCACCACCACTACCACCACTCATGCTATGATGACGACCAGGACGACTGTGAAGGGTCACTGCCAAGGAGCTCAGCAAAGACCAGGCACACACCGCTCAGGAAGCTCAGGAGACCGCTGGCCAAGGCAAAGTACACGCCTGCGCTGGCAGTTGGCGTCAAGTGCTACAGGACCTGTCTCGTGATTTGGGAGGACCAGTGAAAGACAGAGATAGAGAGAGAAGAAAAGAAAGGATAAGAGTGTTGTAGCAAGCACATTCGTAGAACAATGGCTCAGCTCAGTTCTGAGGAAGGATGTGCATGGTCCAAGCCAAAAGTTCAAATTGTGAGCCCACTCAGTTCACAAACTAGTGGTACCAGCAACGGCAGCCGTAGGAGCGCGACGTTCTGTTGCATTGGTCATGACAATCATACGCACTAATTAGCCTTGGCGTGCTTAAAGGCTATAAGCCCTATTGTCCTGCACAAAGCTTAATCTCAAGCTCCAAAATACCGTAGACTCTCCAAACCCTGAAACTCGGAATCTTCCAAACTCGCCTAGATCTGGCACCCTGAAACCCGAAACCGAAAGCCCTCAAATACCACTGAACCCTAAACCCTAAACCCCTAAACCGTAAACCCACGCCTCCTCCCCAGGCCATGGTCAAGTCCTGAGGCCATACGACCACATCACCGGCCGTGATGCCCAGGAGGAACTCTGAAACCAGTACCTAGCGCTTTAGGGTTCAGGGTTTAGGGGTTTAGGGTTTAGGGTTTAAATAGGGGTTTAGGGGTTTCGGGTTTAGGGTTTATAGTACGGTTGATGATGTAAACCCTGCACTACCTTTAAGGACCCTAAACTATGGGAACTATGGTCTCTTCCTGATTCCTTATTATGGGTCATGCAGGATATAGATCATCAACCGTAGGGCTTCTTGAAGCTGACGGTGCCCCTTTGCCAGGAGCTGGCCATCTTTCGGCCCTCAGGATGACTGTGCCAGCACCCCTCTCTGAGGGAACGGAGGGGTCGTCATGCATTTATATGTACATGTATGTATGTATGTATGTATGTATGTATGTATGTGTGTATATATATATGTATATGTATCTATATATATATATGTATATATCTATATATACATATATATATATGTACGTACGTA